GGTCCTGGCTCTCCGGCCCCCAGCTGAGCCGTAAATGACTTTTCCATTTTCTGAGACCTGCGCCCAGGCCTGTTTGGTATTCAGGGACACCCGGCCCGCACTCGCCAGCTCCTGGCTCTGCCCGAATTACTTGATTAAAACGCATATCAACTATTATGTGATTCGTTTCTCTGCCGCAGCTCCTAGCCGGCCTACGTTAAACTGTAATAAAGGCTGGGCTGGGAGGCGGCGGGGACAGGAGCCCAGGAACCGGAGTGGGAGGGTGTCTCTGCGGGGGTGAGGGGTCCTGAGAGACGGGCCCCACATCTCAAGGCCATGGCTGGCTTCCCCTGGTCTGGAATGTCTGACAAGGATTTGGAGATGGGTCAGCTCCCTCCTGCAGCTCCAGAAATGGTGACCATCTTCTCCTTTGGCAAAGGGTGACCAGGGAAGGTTGGAGGGGTGGGGATGGAGAACGAGCCACCTTGGTTTCCATGATCAGAAATGGAATCCTCCGTCCACCAGGAATTCGCTGAAACAAAGCTGACTGTCCCTGGGCTGGGCGTCCAGAGCCCTGGGTTTTCTTCCCAGGCTCACGCCCCCAGGGACTCCACTGGGCATCTGTAAGATGGGGCTTGCTCCTGCCTGCGTGGCCTTCCAGGGTTACTGGGAGAAACAGTGTTAACACAGTGAAAGGGCTTGCAAACTGCGGAGTGCATGCCCAGGTTCAAGGTGAGGACTATGGCAGTGTGTCAGGGTTCAAAGGAAGTCTGTAACCATCCCACTGAACCCTGTTCACCTAAGAAGCCCTAACAGAGCCCCTGCCGGGTGCTGGGCACAGTCTCGGGTGCACTCAAGGACCTCCTGCTGCAGTGGGGCCCAGAGGCCCATACACAGGCAAGTTCGGTGTTTCTCGATGAGCTTTGAGAGCCCAGGCTAGGGGCACTGCAGCCTGGTTGGGCCCAGGAAGTCTTGCTGGGGGAGCCCCGCCCCCCTTGCCCCCTGGCCCCGAGCTGGGCTCTGCTGGCTGAGCAGGAGTGCTCCTGGTAGAGGCGGAGGCATTCCCCCACCCCTTCCAAATCTGGAGGTTGTGTGATAGTGTGGCTCGGTCCTGTAAGGAAGCTGAGAACTGGACAGGGAATCACGAGGAGAGGCAGGGTGAGTGGGACACACAGTCAGGGCCCGTGGGGTGGGGCGGACGGGGGTATCGCAGCTTCCTGAGCCAGTGGCTGGCGGGCTCCAAAGGCGGGCACGGGGGCCGGGTGCAGAGGCTTGGGGAGCGGCTGGAGACCTGCCTCCAGCCATGTGCTGTGCACTTCAGCCACCTGGCCGGGGCTGGACCCTGCCCTGGACTCTGCCCTCATTCCTGCCCACCCTTAAGCTTTCACAAACCTTAAGGTTTGGCAGACTGAAGGATTTCTGTCACCCCTCCAGCCCCTCATTCTGGGGTTCTCTCAAGTCACGCGTTTCACACCTGCTCTGGCCCCGATTCATTTGGAAGCTGTGTTTTCCTTCGTCCGCCCGGGAACTTCCCAGCACGGGCGGTGATGCCTCCTCCACCAGATTGGGAGCTTCCTGAGACGGAGGCTGTTTTCCCCCCATGAGACTGGGAGGGCTCCACGGTGGGACTGGTCTTCTACCTTGCTCTGTATCGGACTCCCCACATCCCTAAGCAGGGAGAGGACCCGGGAACCCAGAGAGAGGCCCCCTCACCATATCCCTCTCCCTTGGGGCTCTCTCCACACCCGCGCCAGCTCCGTCCCGCCTCCCCGGCACCTTGCCATCTCACAGCTGCTTGAGAGCAGCAGGGCAGGCCTGCAGCTGGCCAGGATGCTGGCCCCCTACCCCCGGCCTCTGTCTAATGAATGCGCTCCCATGTCCACTCTCCCCACGTGCCCCTCCCCGTGCCAGCTGCCCAGGCTTTGGCTGCACGGAGCACTCAGCCCCAGCCGTCAGGGCTTCTCTGCGGCCAAGTCCACCTAATCCTGCTGATGAATCTGACTCTGAGACCAGCGGGTTCCGGGGGCGGGGGGAGAGCACCACCGGGGAAACCGGAGCCAGGGCGGTGCGGTGGCATCAGGGTTCTTTGTGAGCAAGCCCCCCTCACTCTTGCTGCGTTGGTCCCAACCCCCCCCCCACCTCCTGCCATCATCATCGTCATCATCATCGTCATCATCCTTCCTGTGCCCTTTACAGGTTCCAAAGTACTCCCGCAGCCTGCATTTCATTTCGTTCTTCAAAGCGGTCCATTGAGGCATGCGGGCATGCACCATGATCTTCACTTTCACAAGTGAGAAATCCGAGGCCCAGAGAGGGAAAGCGACTTGTCCAAGGCCACACAGCGAGGGAAAGACAGAGCCCAGAATCCAGGCGTCAGGTCTCCTGGACCAGGACGCTTGACTAGATCGGAGCTGCCCCAGAGGCCCCAGACTTCTTTCTAGTCTGTCCTCCCTCCCCTTTCTTCTCCAGCAGTGAGCGTGGGCTTACTGGCTGTGTGGCCTCCATCAAGTTACTAAACCTCTCTGAGCCTCGTTTTCCCTCTTCATAAAAGAGCCAATGGCCCAGACCTGTTGTGAGGCTGGCACTGACCTAGATGGATCTCTTCCCCTGGGGCTGGGCCAGTGAGGAAGCCAGAGATCTTTTTCAGAGGCCTGAAGTGACACAGTCCAGTTCTCCTTCGATCTCTTTCGATTTCTACCTAGTGGGACAGAGCCTTGCTGTCCCCACACAGCATCCAGAGAGTTGTTATGGCAACCGCCAACATCCTATCCCTTCAAACAGTAGAGGCCTGTGGGCCCCGCTTTGCCTTCCCCAGTCTGGGTTTTGGGCTGGGCGTCTCTTTCGGCCCACAGATCCCCAGATCTGTGCTGGGCAAGGGGTGGGAGGAACGAGGAGGAGAGGAGGAAGTAGACTCAGCACTCCATAATGATTTTAGAAAGCTGCACGTCATTTGGGGGACAAGGACGTTGGATGCAGGTGGGGCCTGAGTGGGCGGAGCCCTGAATTTGTCCTGCAGCCAGCAGGTTGCTGACTACATTCACGCTCTTGGTTACAGCCCAGTAGCCCGTTCTAGTATTTCCCCGATGTTTTGCTTTATACAAAAGCACCTTCGCAAACTGAATTCAAGGAAACGAATGCTCTTGTACGTGGAAAATGAGTATCGTGTCCTGTAAGTAGATGGGAACCACGGAAACAATGTTGTTAATTCTGCCCAGAAGCTACTGCGTGCAGACAGCTCTGAGCTCGGGGCTGGTCCTCCCCTTGTTGAGAAGGGAGAACAACAGAGTTGAATTTGTGCTGTCCTGTGGGGTAGCCACCAGCCACACGGGGCTAAAGAAATTCAAACTGAAGTGAAATCACATTAAAAAAAAAACAACAACCCAGTTCTTCAGTTGCACTAGGCGCGTCTCCAGGGCTCCTTGCCACGTGGGGCTGATACCTCCACCACGTCGCCCCACGCAGGTCCGGAACATGTCCATCATCTCAGAAAGGCCCGGTGGACAGTTCTGCTCTGGACAGAACTGAGACTTAATCAGAGTGGGGTTTTTCCTAGCATAGGGCTGTGTCTCCTCCCCAGTCGGAGCACGGTTCTGCCCACAGGTTTGGCCCCCAACAGCCCCAACCCCCCTCTCACTCCGAGCCTGTCTGGGCTCGAGGGTCCCCCCTGGAGGAGGGGCGCCGGTGCTCCATTCACTATTAGCGGGCTGCCGCCCCCTCCTTCCGGCCCGCCACTCCTTGCTGCCTCCTCCTGAGGCCCCAAGGGCTCGCTCTTCTCATCACTGTCAGAAAACTGAGGTTAGGCTGTGAGTTTCAGGAAATGAATCCTTGCGATTAGTTGTCTTTGGCTCAGAGCCCCAGACGTGCTGGGGAAGGTGCCCAGGGTGCCAGCTGTGCCCAACGAGGGGTCCTCTTGGTGCCGGGCTGCTGGGCAGCCAGGAGAGGGTGGATGGGGGGGGGTGGATTTGACTCCAGCCTCCACCTTTAGGGACGAGGCAGGCAATGATGAAGGGAGGGCCCCTTGTCTTTGGTTCCCTCTTTGTCACAATCCGGGACAGCCTAGCAGTGACCAGTAGTGATCAGACATGACTGTCCAATGGTCAAGGCAGCAGGAGGGAAGGGGACCCAGGTAGGGGGGCATTGCCCCAAACTGGATGAGTTCCCAGCTGTGGATGCAGCCCGGTGATAGATAACACGACCCAGCATGCCCTTCGGCACGCCGGGACTTTGCACGTGCTCTTCCCCTTCCTGGAATGCCTTTCCTTTCGCCTCCGAGTGACATCGAGGCTGTATTTGGTTATGGGGGATGGGAGGGAGGTTGTCCCTCGTGGGAAGGGCCTAGACCTACTCAGGTAGCCAACATGAACAAGAACAGAGGTGGGGACGGGACACTGTTACATTGGCTCCCTCCATCCCTCCTTTCCATCCTCTTTGCAACCTTTTCCCAGAATGCAGTCGTGTCTTCACTTAACAAATACTAAACCACAAACAAGCACAAAGAAGGAAACACAGGTTCCGTCACCCTGAGGTTAACGTCTGCTCACCTTTTCACTGCAATGTTCCATAGTGCGTCGCCCCGCTCTTTCTAAAAGTGGTGCTGAGCTCTGCACCCTGGTCTGTGCCGAGCCGTGTTCTTAAAGTCAGCATTGTCGAGGCACAGTTAACATGCCGTAACATTCTCTCTTTTGGAGAATATAGTTCTAGAAAATTGGGCAAATGTTTTTTTATTATGAAACCAACCCCTAATTCTGATTCACAGATATCCTTCCGCGTCAGTGGGAATAACCTAAGTGCCCAGCTACAGGGGATTTTTTTTTTCTTTAAGGAATGTTGTGCCTTAAAGTACTTAGCCAGTTCCCTAGGGCTGGGCACGGAGGCTGCTTCCCGCTCTTCCCTCTGGTAAACAGTGCCTCGTGCTCCCCTGGGACCTGACCCTCCGTGCAGCGATGGGCCTGAAGGTGCGCACGGCGCACCCCTCCCTCTCACCGGGCGCCGCCCTCCCCCTCCCTCTTGCCTGGCTGCAGGGAACCGGCTGGACGAGGGCTCAGACGTGGAGTCGGAACCCGACCTGCCTCTGAAGCGCAAGCAGCGCCGCAGCCGGACCACGTTCACGGCTGAGCAGCTGGAGGAGCTGGAGAAGGCCTTCGAGAGGACGCACTACCCCGACATCTACACCCGCGAGGAGCTGGCGCAGAGGACCAAGCTGACTGAGGCGCGTGTCCAGGTGAGCAAGTGTCTCAGACGTTGGCACCGCGGGCGTAATCCAGGGCCGGGAATTGAGAAGGTGAGGCGGCCAGGGCCCGAGGGTTCCCTGGGCCCCTGGAGAGTCGTGCAGCAGGTGGTCTGAGGACTCTGTAAACAAGTAACGCCACCAGCAATCGATGCCGAGTGAGCGAGCTACGAGTGTTGATGGGCTCATGGAGTGGCGGGCAGCCCGAGGGAAGCCAGGGGCTGCAGTGAGGGCTGGTGGATTGTGTTCATCGCTCCAGGCAACAAGCACCTCAAAAAAAAAGAGAAAAAGAGGGATGGAGGGAGACATGGAGAGGAAAGAAGAAGTAGTCAAGGGAAGGAGGGAGGGAGGAAAGAAGAGAAGAAGGAAGGGAAGCAATAAGGAAGGGAGGGCAGTAGTTCAGCCAGGAAGAGAGGGCTCGGGGTGTATAAAACCCCCTGCATCTCTAATGAGGGGTGGAAGTCATTCAGAGGAAAATTTCTGAACAGGCTTAGCTTCCTAAGATGGGTGATGAGTTTCCCCATACGGGAAGCATGCAAGCAAACGGGGCAGGCCTGTTCCTGGTGAGTTAGAAGCACCAGAGGGAGACTGGCCAGGCCTTGAACACCCCTGCACACATGCACTCTCGAGTGTGCAGCTCCTAACCAGACGGGGGTGGGGGAGGGAGAGTACAGGCAGGGCAGGGCAGAGCCTGCCTGCGGTCCAGGCTGACGATGGGGGAGGGACTTGCCTCCCCTCCCCAGGCTGTGCTGTCATGTTCAGAGGACTGCAGTCCTCTCTGAGTGCAGGGAGAGCCTCGGGGACGGCTGGGAAGGACCCAGGCTGGGTGGGGGAGAAGGAAGGTCATGACGCATAGCTCTAGTGGGAATCCACTCCTGGCCTATCTTCTCCCTGAAAGAGGGAGGCGGGTAGAGGGGCCACCCCAGACTGCTCACGGGGGCACTGCCGTCCAAGGGTAGCCAGCCCTTGTTGGGCACCTGCCCTCTGCAGTCCCAGGGCCTGTTGTGTGTGGACCTGGTGGAACCTCGGACCAGAGCCAGAAGGGTCCCGCCCCAGGCCACAGGTGCGGAAGCTGAGGCTTGGAGCCCAGAGGCGCAGAGCTGAGTGGGGCCTGAGTGGGCCTGGCATTCAGGCCTGGCGGGCACCCACGCCCAGGTTCCGTTCAGGAACAAGAAGTTGACTCAGAGCCTGGAATTTGAAAGCAATAGAGAAAGTTCTGGAAGCAAAGCAACATTTGAGCACTCCAGGAACTGATGCACCTCCCTCCGCCTTCCCCACCCCCCACTCCAGGAGTGGGGGGCCCTGGGCTGCCTTCGAGGGAGACTCCCTGGGAGGGGGGGTAGCGGCAGCAGCCAGCTCATCTCAACCCTCCCCTCCTCTCACGGGCGACACCCGAGCCTGCCCCCGCCAGCCTCCCTCCCGCTCCGATCCGGCTGCAGCTGTTCTCCTGGGCACATTCCTGGGCGCTTTCTCATTCCCACGTCTGGGGGCCTCGCTGCTTCCCACCACCTTGAAGCCTGGCTGCCCCTTGTAAAATTTCCTGGCTGTCAGGGCAGTGCATTTATTGGCCCAGGGGGCCCAGAAGCAGGTGTCACTCAAGGTCCAAGGAGGGAGGGGGGCTGGGATGAGGGGCAATAGCTAGGGCCCCAATAAACCTACAGGGCAGACATCTTCCACATGCTGACGCCGCCCTCAGACTCGGGGCTCTCCTGGGTTGGGGGCGGGTCTCCCCCTCAGACTCTGGCTTTCCCCGGAGCGGGGCGGGGGGGTCTCCCCCCCCCATAGCCCGAGAGCTTTCCCTGCAGAGGGAAGAACAATAAATGCTGATCCTTAAAAAGGAATGAACTAAAGGTAACCCCCCCCCCAAATGGAGGCAGGAATGGCAGAGCATTTAGCCTGGAGAAGAGGAGACTTGGAGAATATGGCTGCCTTGAGGCACCTCAGGGGTAGAACCAGGGCCAACAGGGAGATGTCCCAAGTCCCATACAATGGTCTGCAGGAAAGAGAGCGCAGACCTGGGAGCCACGGGTCTCGGCAGGCTCAGGTGTCACCCGTGAGAGGAGGGGAGGGGTGAGAGGAGCTTGGCTCCCTGCCTCTGATCAGCTGTGTCGCCTTTAACAGGTTAGTTTCCTTTCCTGAGACGTAATTTTTCATTTATAAATAAAGGAATCAAGCTAAACGGTCACTAAGGCCCCTTAACATGCTAGGATCCTTATTGACAGTCAAGGCTGCCTTGTGAGATGATGAGATCCCCGTTAGAAGAAGCATTCAAGCACAAGTGCAACACTCAGTGTGTCAAGAGACCTGGAGACAGGGTTCCTGCTGTGGACAGTGTGGCAGGGGCCTCGAGGCCGCCTGGGCACTGCGTAGGTTTTCTGGCTCTGTACTTTCGAAGTCTTGGCCTCTGATTCTAAGTCTATGGTTCAGGGATTTTGCAATCCTTTGCCATTTTTTTAACTTCAATTTTATTTTTCAATGACAGTTTGCATTCAGTATTATTTTGTATCAGTTTCAGGTATACAGCATAGTGGTTAGACAATCATATACCTTATAAAATATTTCCCTGACATTCCTTTCTTTTTTTTTTTAGATTTTATTTATTTATTTTTTAGAGAGGGAAGGGAGGGAGAAAGAGAGAGAGAGAGAGAAGCATCAATGTACAGTTGCTGGGGACTGTGGCATGCAACCCAGGCACATGCCCTGACTGGGAATCGAACCTGCGATGCTTTGGTTCGCAGCCCGTGCTCAATCCACTGAGCTATGCCAGCCAGGGCTAACCCCGATATTTCTTATACCCACCTGGCACCATACATAGTTATTACAATAATTGATGGTATTTCCTATGTTGAACTTTACGTCCCTGTGACTATTTTGTACCAAACTGCACTTCTTAATCCTTTCCCCTTTTTCATCCAGCCCCCGCAAGCCACCTCCCTTCGGGCAATCAATTTTATTTTTATGCCATCTTTTCTCCATGGCCCCGGGAGATGGGTGGGGGGGGGGGATAATGGAATGGTTCAGAGTGGTCTCAGAGACAGATGCCTAGCTGTGAATTTCAGCTTCATCAGTTCCTGCTTTCGCTGTCAGTTTCCTCATCTGCCATGTGGAGATGACAAGAATAGGATCCAAAGATTAAATGATGCCATGGAAACACACACATACACACGCAAAGCTAGAAAGTGGCCGGCACACAGAAGTGCCACAAGTCGGGGCGGGGGCTGTCATTATTATTTAAACTCCACCTGTGGATGGTTCCGATGCTGGCCACCCTTGAAACTCCAGGTTCATTCATCTGGCACTCATTTATTGAGCACCTACTACGTGCCGGAGACTGGTCTAAGCTCCGGGGATTCAGCAAACAGAAATCTGTAGTCGTGGAGCTGATATTCGAATAAACAAGCCTTTAGGTAAACACGTGTCAGGTGGAGTTCATGATTCCAGTGTGTTACCTCCCTCTGGCTCCCCTCCAGCCCTGCTTTGGAAGCCTGCGGAGTGTTACAGGGCACCCCGGTGTGTGGCAGAGACGCCCCTGTCTCAGCCTGCAGAAAGCCCGAGCCACCGTGAAGGGCAAGAAGAGGGGTGTCGGGCAGGAGGACACACACCTGGGGACCAGTCACTTTCTCTGCAGGAATCTGCATCTTCAAACAGCAGGAGGCCGACCCCAATCTCGCACACACCTTCCGTGGAGGCAAACAAATCCGTTGTGTGCAGCTGCCAGGAGCCCTGAGCCTGTGATTCTTCTAGAAGCAGAGGCCACCCTCAACCGAATCTCGTTTTAGAGGGACTCACTAATTAGCAACTCAAATCAAACTTTTCACAACACCAGATAATACTCATAATGCACTTTTTACGTGCCAGGCACAATGCGCGGCACTTTACATGCATTATCTTTTTCACCCTCACCATAACCCGCAGAGGGAGGGAGGGAGGATTAGTCTCTCCATTCGGCGGTGAGGAATCTGAAATGCAGCTGAGAGAAGTAACTTCCTGAGGACGCAGTCGATAGGCAAGCACGCTAGGACTTGAACCCAAGTCCGCTCAAGTCTGTTCTTTTCATCCGTGCTGCGTTGGGAAAAGGTCCAGACAAAACATTCAACCCAGCAACAGATGCCTCCTGCGGCGTCTGCTCCCAGTGCTACGGAGGGGGGAAGGACCGAAAGTGAGCAGGGCGTCTGCGTGGGGTGCCGGGCTGCCACGGTCCCTCCTGGAGCCCCCATTTCCCCCTCTGTAAATGAATGACCTCCTGGCACCGACTGTTGGCTGAGAGCGGCCCCAGCTCAGCCATCGGAGGGTTTCCTGCGGATCGATACTTACCAGACGCTGCTCTGAGCACAGTGCCCGGGTTAACTCATTTGAGGTCCAGAACCACCTGAGAGGTGGGGGCTATTATTAGCCACATTTCACAAAGAAACTGAGGCACGCAGAGATAACGCAACGTGCCCCTCTTAGCCGGGAGTTGGAGGCGGGACTCAAACTCAGCAGTTTCCAGCATCGCTGCTAGTAACTAACCATCTTGTACGTTGTGAGGTGGGAGGCACCTGCTGGAGCGGAGGCAGCCCTGGGGAAACAGGACAACAGAGCAAGACGAGGTGAGGGAATTGGCAGCAAAGGGCACGTGCTCTCCTCCAGGAAGCCCTCCTGGATTCTGAGAGGTGAAGCCGGAAGCCCTTCCTCGGGCCTCCCTAGAGCGGCTCGCATGTCACCTGTCACTGCACTGGAGGGCAACAGTCCTTCGAGGGGCCTGTCGTGGACTTGAACCCAAGGAGAGGGCGGCTAGGCCTGGAGCCTGCGCACGTCCGTCCCCGGCGTCTCGCTGAGCTCGGCGTGGAGTCCCAGCGCAGCTCTGAGCTGGGGAGGAAAAGCAGGGAAAGGCAGGAAGGGGGAAGAATGCCTCCTCCTTGACTTCGTACCTTCCTTTGAGGAAAAGCCGACCCACCCCCAAAGGGGCTGCTGCCTTGGAACCGACGAGAATAGCGTGTCCCACACTTAAATTATTCTCCGACCCTCTTCAAGATTTTTGCCACATTTTCACATGACCCGCATTGTTCTTTCTATAAAATCAATGCGTTTTAACATAAAAGTGTATCTGAAGCTCATACGAGGAAGGCAGCTGGAAACATACACAGACAAACAAGGTACGATCAAGGCCCTTAGGAAAATGTCACCTCCCGAGGCTCCTCTCAGTGTGAAAAGGCAGGAGGGACGCATTTGCGCTGACCCAAGACCAGAGGGGCCTGGAGAAGGGGCGCGGCTCGGGGCTGTTTAACGTCCGCGTCTCTGGCCATCTGGGACATCTCCCCAATGTGGAGTGACCAGAGCCCCACCCTTTGGGAAAGGCTGAATTCAAACATCCCCCACGGAAGCAGGGGCCGGAAACACCGCCCGTTTCTCCCAGTTCAGGGGCAGCCTCCTTCTGAGGGCCCCTGCCCCAGCCCAGGACACCCCTGGGAAACTCTCAGGGCCCCGGGGAAGTGGGGAGGAGCCAGGACTTCCATGCGATTTGGCCTCCAGCGTCCCCTCCAGGTGGAGCTGCCTCAGCTCCTTTCTTCGTGAATCCTAACCTGGTCACAGCCACTGCCCTATCCATCCAGCCTGGGAAGCTGCGCGCTGTTTCTCCTCCGGGAGAAGACACGCAGCACCCCTCTGCCCAACGAGACTGCCCTCCTGCGTGTCAGCAGGCATGGTCTGGAGGGCTGGGGGTCTTAAGGAGTCCTGTGCCAGGGAAGGTCAGGGTCTTCTCCCCACCAGCAGGGGCTGCCGACTGAGCCCTGTGGCCCCAGCCCTGGGAAAGCCACCTCTGCCTTCCCTGGTTCACTCATCCGTTCAGCAGGTATTGGCTGAGCCCCTACGGAGCCAGAGCCGTGAGCCAGGGATGCAGGCCTCCACCCCGGGAGCCCAGAGCCGCAGGGACAAAGAGAAGCATTGCCCCCCAAAACAGATAACTGTGTGAGGAAGCACACGTGAGGCCTCCAGAGAAAGGGCTGCAGGGAGGGAGTTCCAGGTAGAGGGAGCAGCGCGTGCAGAGCTTGAAGGCGGAGAAGAGCCCTCGGCCCCGGGGCAGCCCCTGCTCCACGCACTCCTCCTCCTCCTCTCTCTGGCCCAGCCCAGGGCTTGTCGCAGATCCAGACGGGTGGGCTGCGGAAGGGCAGGCGTTTAAGTTCGAACCTCAGATCCACTGAAGACTGTTGCTGTGGTCTTGGCAAGTTATTTGACCTGTGTGAGCCTTGGTTTTCCCTTCTGTAAAATGGGAATAGGAGGCCGTGTCTCTCGGTTCTGCCATGGACAGACACGTGCAGCGCCAGCACAGGGCTTGAAGGTCAGGGAGTCTCAGAGATGTTACCTGGTTTTCCACGGGTGCTAAGCACACCCCTGTGTCCGTGGGAGGTGGGTTTCCCCAGTCAAGGGGGCCTGGCCGAATAAGCGAAGTGGGGGCTCAGGCGCCAGAGAAAAAACTGGTTTTCACATCTGAGTCTGGCAGGCAGATCTCGTTCAGGTGGGTTCTGGATCTGTGGCTTCCTCCTGGGGGGCTTCCTGGAGGAGGCAGGAGTTGAGCTGAGCATGTGTGGGGACAGGGACAGTCACGTGTTCACATCCCTCGGGGCAGGAGCAGCTGCCATGGAAAGAGCACTGCACCCAGAGTCACACAGCCTGACACGTGGGCAAGTCACCCACTCTCTCTGGGTGTCAGTTTGCTTGTCTGTGAAATGGGGGTGATGATAATAAGCTCCTCCCTGGGAGGTCGTGAGGACAGAAGGGGACCGTGCCTATGAAGGCTCTCTGCAAACCGTCCCCAGCAGCGTGAGGGAGGGCGTGTCCTCCCGTGGGGGAGCATGCTGGCTGGACCGAGGGTGACAGCTGGGGGCACTGGTTCTGGCTGAGTCCCAGCTCTCCGCCGGGAGCTGGGCTAAGGGCTCTGTTCTCCACTCTCGACCCACCAGGTCTGGTTCAGTAACCGCCGCGCCCGTTGGCGTAAGCAGGCCGGAGCCAACCAGCTGGCAGCGTTCAACCACCTTCTGCCAGGGGGCTTCCCTCCCACCGGCATGCCCGCACTGCCCCCCTACCAGCTGCCGGACTCCACCTACCCCACCACCACCATTTCCCAAGGTGAGTGCCCGGGCCCCGTCCCGGCATCTTAGCCATGACCTTCACGCTGGGCCCGCCCAGTCCGTCCTTCCTTAACAAAGAAGGAATGAGAAGGGTTGTGTGTTTATGACCCTGCGTCTACTTTCACCTGGGCAGTCTATTAAGACAATAAAGGGGAGGTCCTGCCCTTGAACTTCTCGGCTCTGCCAAAAGGCTATAGAGCATCCAGGTAAGGATTAACAAGGTCACTTCCATGTCCACGTTTAGAAGAGAGCTTCTCAAACTGTAAAGTCACATGAATTTCCGGGTCTTACTCAAATGTAGAAGAGGCGGTGCACCTTGGGAGAGGAGAAGGGTTCTTCCCCTCCCTCCTTGGATCCTGTCTCCAACTGCGCCCTCCCCCTCCTCTTCCCACTGCCTCTCAGCCCCTCCCCCCAACCTCCCTCCCCCCCTGCACACATTAGGAACCCCACTACCTGACATCTGCCTCGTGAAGCCCTGGTGGCTCCTCTTAAAGGGCTGGCAGACGGGCTGGAGCTCTGGAGGCTGAGGAGAGAAGCAGGGGACCTTCTCTGGGATTCTCTCTCTTTTTTTAAAGATGTTATTTATTTTTAGACAGAGGAGAAGGGAAGGAGAAAGAGAGGGAAAGAAACATCAGTGTGTGGTTGCCTCTTGCACTCCCCACACCGGGAACCTGGCCTGCAACCCAGGCATGTGCCCTGACTGGGAATCGAACCAGCGACCCTCTGCTTCACAGTCTGGTGCTCAGTCCACTGAGCCACATCAGCCCAGGGCTTCTCTGGGATTCTTGATGAGAAATTAAACCTTCGAGGAGAACGGTGGTCCAGTCCGTCGGAAGGCTGTATGGAGGGGCCCTAACAGAGCAGAATAGCAGCTGAGCAGCTAGGAACAGAGATAGCCGTTCAAACCCTGACCACACTACTCACCAGCCTTGTCGCCTTGCACAAGAGCCTTTACCCCACTGAGCCTCGGTTTCTTCATCTATAAAATGGGAACCGTAGTCTTGCTTCATACCCTTAGTGTCTGTAAAAGCACCTGGCAAGTGGTCAATGCTCACAAAATGCTATTGAGACCGGCCTGGATGGATTCAGACAGAGTCCCCATGAGGTCTGACCTTCAGTCCAGGTAATCGCTAGGTTCCCAGTGTGTGCCGAGCACGGAGCGGCAGGACCCGTGCACCGTTGCCCAAAGGTGATCTGGAAAGTTAGCTGGCTGTCAGTGCAGACTTGGCCAGACCCTAGTGCCCTGCCTGGAAGCCCGCTTGTCCCATTTCAGGTATCGAGAAACGGTCCCTTCCCTCCACTGGATGGGGACTGCGAGAAGGAGGCTCATGGCTTGCTTTCCAAACAGGAGGTTCTTTCCCTGCCTGGGAGGCCCACCCTCCAAGGCGAGCCACCCGCTCAGGCCCTCCCCTGGGTCTCTCCACAGACGGGGGTAGCACCGTGCACCGGCCCCAGCCCCTCCCGCCGTCCACCATGCACCAGGGGGGGCTGGCTGCGGCCGCGGCAGCCGCGGACACCAGCTCTGCCTACGGAGCCCGCCACAGCTTCTCCAGCTACTCCGACAGCTTCATGAACCCAGCGGCGCCCTCCAACCACATGAATCCTGTCAGCAACGGCCTGTCCCCTCAGGTAGGTGGCCTCGCCCCTCTGCCCAAGGTCCCATCGCCAGACCCCCACTAGTCCAGGCCTCAGGGGCTCCAGGTGACCCAGGTTGGCGGTCCTTGGGGAAAAAGTCACTGGTCTCCACAAAGCCACTGGCTGTTGGGTACTTTGAGAGGGTTTAAATAACTTCGCTTGTCAGTATTTTGTGGTCCTTCACCTTGGGTTTCTCTTCGCAAGCTGCAGATGTGGGTGGCTCAGTGGAGGATGCAGAGGAAGGGTTTTCATAACACGCTTCCACACTTCTCGCCACCCAGAAACAAACAGATGTGTTACTAGTGAGTGCTCCTGGCTGGACAGCCGCCCCGAGCTTGTGAAACTGGCCCGCACCGATCTCGTGGCTGGTCAGTCCACGGAAGTCGGGCATTGTCAGAGCGTGCATCGGTGGGGCCCTTGCACCACTCCCTGTGGGATGCCGATGGTGGCTGGGGTGTTGTTCTAGAACCAGGAGTCCTCCCTGGGTTCCACCCTGTGTTCCGTCTCCCACCTTTCCCCAGGAGTGACCCATGCATGAAAGGCAGGGCCGTGTCCTATTGGTGGAAAGAATTACGGCTGGGTTCCATGGGGAAAACTCGACTCCCATTGGGTCTTGGAACTCTGTCCACTCAACGTGTGATTGGTTGCTGGTTAAGTCAGTCATTGTCATTGCCTGGTGGTGCTGTTAGAAGTCTTGGGACCTACTTACATGAGGTGGGGAAGACCATGCTGGGGTTCGCAGTGGGTAGCAGTGGGTTTGGGGAGCAGGACTTGGTGATGCTGGAAGTTTTTAGTGAATTTGAGGAACTGGTGAGTTCATTTCTGTAGCGACAGCAGGCTCTCAGCTATTCACGGGGGTGGGGGGGGGGCGGTTCACCCTGCCTCCCACCTTCTGAGACACCTCCCTCTTGTGTGGTGAGAATGCGCGCGGTACAAACCCACCTGAACAGGGGGATAGGAAGGGGAAGGCTTGGAGGAGGTTTTAATCCCAGCTCTGCTGCTCAGGTGTTAGGCAAGGTAGCATCCTTGAACCTCAGTTTGCCCCCCAGTGAACAAAAGAGCGGTTAAACAGTGCCGCTCACCTGCTAGGAAAGATGTTCTCTGCATTCCCGTGCTATCAGATTAGAGCACTCTGCACAGACCCTGGCCAGGTAGGGGCCCAGTAAACATTACTTCTCTTTTCCACCCCACGCCCCCCCCCCATTACCAAGGCAATAGAATTAGTCTAGAGACCTGATGCCTGAAATAAAAGGGGCCAAAGGGGAGGTCCACTGCAACCCCCACCTCCCCGCCTTGGCCACGTCCCTCTGGCTGTCTGTTTTTGTAAATAAAGTTTTATTAGCACACAGCCGAGTTCCTTCAATGATGTAGTCATCGCTGTTTTTGTTCTAAACAGCAGAGTTGAGTAGTTTTGAGAGAGACCCGATGGCCTGCAAAGCCTGAAACATTTACCCTGTGGCCTTGACAGAAAAAAGCTGCCCCCTGCTCCCTGGCCTAAAACATTTCCAAGAATGTTCATTTGCGGCGTGTTTTGGGTTCATTCCTGTTTGCCTCTATTCGTGTGTGGAGTGGAGGGCTGCTTGCATTCTAGTTCCATCATTTGCTTGTGGGTAAGTTCCCTTCTCTTCTCTGTGCCTTGATTTTCTCATCCATGAAATGGGGGCGATTGAACGCCTGTTTCACACGGCCATCAGGGATTGAGTGGGGCGATCCACCTGAAGCCCTCAGCCCAGGTCCCTGCAGAGTCGAGTGCCCCGTAAACACATGCAGCTGAACGCTGAGTCCCTAATGGTGATGCACCCAGGCCCCTTGGGGCCCACGTGATGTGGGGAGGGGAAGCAGCCTGCAGACCAGAATGTTTTCCCAGTGGTACCCAGGGGAGCCTCTTTGTGATTCAAGGCCATGACCTCCGTCTCACCAGTGCCCGGGCCTCACGGGTCCAGCTAACCTTCCAGAGTCAGGAGGTAGGGTAGGCCCAGCAGGGCCCCGGAGCTGGCTGGGTAAGGATGCTGCAGAGGCCCGAGAATGTGGTCCTGGCCTGGCCTCATGGTACAAGCAAGTGGGAGGGGCATCACTTGGAAATCTGAGGAGGGACACTGAGGTTATGTGGCCAGCGACCTCACTTTACAGCTGGGGGGCCCAGGACACACGCATTGTCCGAGTTCAGGGCCCCTGGCTCCCTGACCCGTGCTCCTCCTGGCCCGCTGCCATCAGTGTGGGCTGAAGTGTACCCCCAAAGCAGCGCTCCGTCGCAGGGCAGAGGAGAGCCGAAGGAACCAGGGGTCCCTGGCTTCTGTAGTGTTGTTTGCAGCAGCGGGTAGAGAGTGAGGATGTTCCGCGCACTGTTTGGGCCCAGCGCTGAACCTCAGGGAGGCGGGGAGGGGAAACGGACCCACCGATGCGAGCAGCCAGGTCCAGCCCAGCCCCCGGCGGCTCCCTCCCCACCGCTTGGGGCAGAGAGGCTGCGAGGCCGTGATGGATCGGGCAGACTTCGGACAGGCACTTGCCCAGAGGTTCCCACCAAAGGTGTGAAGACAGATGGCGGGTCTGACAGGGGCAGAGGGGACCGGGAGGTGAACAGCTGCTGAGGGGAGAGGGGCTGCGTGCCGGGCGGGCGCACGCGGGGCCAGGCCATGTGTGCCTCTGAGTGCGCGGCCCTCCGGGGTTAAGCTGCGAGCACTTCCTGAAGGCAGGGGGCAGCCCGGGGGCGTTCCGGTCTTGTAGAGACGTTCCCGGCATTTCTGAGCCCCGACACCCACCCGGCACATGCCCTCCTCGGTCTGAGCAGGCCCGCCCCACCTCTTCGGCACGTCTCTGTGGTCTGGGGAGCCGTGAGGGTTCTCCGCCAAGACTGATCCATTTTCCGTGACCTACCTCCCCGACGGGAGGAGCTCACCTGGGCGAGAGGACAGGCCCCGTGTGGGATGGGGCTTCCCCCCCGGGGCTGTGGGCTGGCACGTAACCCCTCACACGGAGTCGCAGTTCCCTGCCGCCGCTGCCCACGCAGCCTTGGCCCAGAGGGATTATTGGGGGGGGGGGTGAAGTTGGGGGCCCTGCTGAGCACCTGCTGGCCACACCACCTGGCCTGTCGCCACCAGGGGAAAGTGTGCCCCCTCTCAGGGGTTGACCCCATCTTCGGCTCAGACCCGGCCTGAGCTGCAGGGTGCCATGAGCCTCGGGGACTGCCCAGAGGGATTGCCCAGCCAAATTCACCAAAAAGCCACTTAGACATCTCAGCTCTGCGCCTGAGGCCTGACTCAAAGGCAGCGAATAGCTATGGGCGCCTGCTCCACGCCCCGCCCTGTTCTGGCCTCAGCCAGTGACCAGGAGGGATGGAGACCCTGCCTGCGGAGCTGGCCGTGCGGGGCAGACAGACACAGACAACATGCGTCACAGAACAGCACGTCCCACTCTTTCCCGCCAGTGCTGACAAGGACAGCCCACTTTCTGAGCCCCTGTGACTCAGGCCCTGCTCGGTTTCCAACGTTCCTTTTTTAACTATATTGTATTGATTCTGCTATTACGGTGCCCCGTTTTCTCTCCCCTTTACCCCCCTCCACCCTGCACCCCTACTCCCTCCAGCATCGCCCCACTTAGTTCATGTCCGTGGGTCTTACATGTAAGTTCTCTGGCTTCTCCATTTTCTAAACCATTCTCAACCACCCTCCGTCTATTTTGTACCTACCATTTATGCTTCTTATTCCCTGTGCCTTTTCCCCCGTTCTCCCATTCCCCCTCCCCCCTCCCCACTGATAACCCTCCATGTGATCTCCATTTCTGTGATCCTGTTCCAGTGGTTTGCTTAGTTTGTTTTTGTTTTTTTAGGTTCAGTTGTTGATAGTTGGGAGTTTGTTGTCATTTTATTGTTCGTATTTTCAATCTTCTTCTTTTTCTTAAGCCAGTCCCTTTAACATGTCATATAATAAGGGCTTGGTGATGATGAACTCCTTAGGTGCTTATCTGAGAAGCACTTTATCTGCCCTTGCATTCTAAATGATAGCTTTGCTGGGTAGTCACCTTGGATGTAGGTCCTTGCCTTTCAGGACGTTGAATACTTCTTTCCAGCCCCTTCTTGCCTGCAAGGTCTCTTTTGAGAAAGCAGCTGATGCAGGGACAGAACCGGGACTCAGCCCCTATCTCTAGAGCCTGGGCTCTTAACCACTCCCCCTCCTGCCTCCAAAATGCACCCCCCTTGCTGTCTTTTTTGGAGGTTGGTTGGCAACCCGAAGAAACCACCTCGGGAAGCCAGTACCTTCAGCTTAGTGGAGGGGAAAGCTCACTCAACCTGTATTGTGGACGAGAACACTGAGGCCAGGACCACAGGGTAGGGGCTGATGGGCGGGGCCAATGGGCGGGGCCGGTGGGCAGGGCTGATGGGCGGGGCTGACTCAAACAGGAGAAAGCCTTCCCAGAGGTTTGGGTGACCACAAGGCTTGTTGCTCTCCTAGCCCGGCCCTCACACACCGCCCCCCCCCCGCCGCAGAGCCAGCCATGTATCACACAGACGTCCCAGCCTTGCACACTGGGTCCTTCTGAAGAGGAAGACAACTTCTGCCCATGAGACCTCTCTCTCTGCTGGCCCATTGGAGGCTAGGACCCAAAGACCACCCTCCCCTGCCCACTCTGTCCCCTTCACTCCAGGCTGAGGGTCAGTGACTTGGAAAACAACTGAGGGCAGCTTAGGACCAAAGGAACCTTTTGTGACCTGAATGGCTTTGAATAATCTGGTATCTGCAGACTCATCCCTTCCCAGTGGCCCGTGCGTAGGAATCTCAAGCAGAGCGTGCTTTTCGGGGTGGCGGGCAGAGAGACGTGAAGGGGGCACCGAAGCCTGTCCCGAGGGTTTCCTCGGTTCTGATGGGGGAGACCCAGCTCCTGGCCCGAGAGGAGGGACCCAGCTCCCGTCCCCAGGAGGCCACGTCCTTAGGTGCCCTGGTGTGATGGTGGCATCGCAGCCCCCTCCTGGAGAGTCCCCGCTGTGACGGGGCAGGCAG